CACACACACACACACACACACACACACACACACACACACACACACACGACAGAGTCAGTGATTTCATTTCCTGAGTTCAAATCCAGCCTGGGACACTTACTACTTGGGTGACCCTAGGGAAGTTACTTAACCCTGCTTGCCTGTTTTCTCCATCTGTAAAATGAACTAGAGAAGGAAATGGCAAACTACCCCAACATCTTTGCCAAGAAAACCCCAAGTAGGGTCCTGAAAAGTGGGACACAACTAAAACAACTGAACAACAACAAAAACTCCCAATAAGGAAATTTCTCCTACCAAAACAAATACAACTTATCTCTTAGAGAGCTGACTGGGAAAATGAGAGGGCAAGTGACTTGTCCAAGGTCACAGACCCAGAACGTATCAAAGACTGGACTCAATCCAAATTTTTAATTCTGAGCTCGGCTCTCTTTCCACAGGCCGCCCTCTATCCATATACTTTATAATGTTCTTGAGGTTTCAAAAAACAATTTTGTTCTGAGACAACTGTAACTTAGTTATTGGTTATCCAACCTTTGTGTAAAGGTCTCCAATGAGGGAGGGCCCGTTTTACCTCTTAAGGCATCCCAGTTCACTCTTGCATCACACTAATTGGTAAGAAGTTGGCACTTACATCAAGTCTAAATCTGACCCTTTGCAGCTTTTTATCCACTGCTACTAATTCTGCTTTCTGGGGTCAAACAAGATTATTGCCTCTTCTGGGTAACAGCCTTTTTAAAATAATAATGATGATAATAATAATTCTTATTAATATTAGTATTTAGCTAGCATTTATTATATAGTGCTTTAAGGTTTGCAAAGCACTTTACAAATGTTATTTCATTTGATCCTTACAACCTTGGGTGAGTAGGAGCTATTATTATCTCCATTTTATAGAGAGGGAAACTGAGGCCGGCAGAGATTAAATAACCTGTCCAGGGTCACACAACTAGTAGGTATCTGAGGCAAGATCTGAATTCAAGTCTCTCCTGTGCTCTATATCCACTGACTCACCCAGCTGCCAACCCTGAACCCCTACTCTAAGCCTTTCTAGTTTGTCAGGTACTTCCAGGTGTGGTTCACTACCACAGTCTTTAAAATCCCAGGAAATTGCCTCCCTATGATGAGACACTGGGAAGAAGATGACAGTGGAGAACATATTTGCTTTATTTAGCAAAAATTAAAATCTAGTACTAAAAATCAAAATTAATTAATTTTCATGGAAGCATTCTTTATTGGAAAGATCTACCTTTAACTTCAATTTTTTTTTTAGAACAAATTTTTTTCGTGGCTATTAACCAAGAGATAGTCACATTTTCACTAAATCCCATAAAGTACTTTGATATAAGCAAAATATTTTGATGTAGAGTCTAAATACAGAAATGTATTTGGAATTATGCCCTTCATCTCCATTTTGCAGTTAATGCCTCATTTATGTGGCATCATTGGAAAACTGCTCCTCCCCATCTCCCCATGCCTGGAATGCCCTCCCTCCTCACCTCTGCCTGTCTTCCTTTAAAAGCAGCTCAGGCACCATCTTCCCCATAAAACCTTTCCTACTCCCCCTCTCCAAAAGCTACAGTCCTTCCTCCCAACCTATCTTGTATTTAATAATTGTGTATATTTTT